ATTAAAAGATTTTACAGTAGAGCATTAGTAACCATTCTCATTGATATGCAGTTCCTTTACCTATATTTTTATACGTTTTGTGAATAAATTGAATTATTACGCCAATTGAAATTCCCAGTATAATTTTATTAATAATAGCAATTTTTATTTTAAAAAGGGTGCATAATAATGTATTCAGTTTTATAAGTTCAGAATAATAAAACTGCTATTAAAATTGATGTGTTAAAAAATTATTATTATATTCAATGTTATTTCTAGAATGGGTGTTACTATTTGGACTAGATTTTATTAAGAATTTTGTAGAAAATATTGTTATCAGAAAAGTATAAGCAGCTGTTATTCCAATAGAAATAATTATTAAAATTGTAATGCAGAAAAAAAGTTTAGAATTAATTAAAGATTCAATAATAGGGAGTTTATTAAAAAATCCTGATATAAAAGAAATTCCTATTTAATCATAATGCGAAACTGCACTCATTACCCGCGAACTGATTATCTGAAGCTTACATAGAAATTGATAAAATGAAAAATTTATTTAGTCAGTAAATTATAAATTAAACAAAAGTCAAATTTATCCAATGCTTCCTTTTATACTGATTATTATTTTTATATGTAACCAATTGCATAAATATCATGTATAATGCAAGTATATGATATATTCTAATAAATAACTTTGTTATTTTAATATCATTGAAGTTGCAAATATCATACAATGAAACATTATTGCTGTAACTTATAAATAATTTCTTAAAGTCGCCCGAAATAAAAAGGCATTCACCAAATACATGTGTTTTGGTGAAATACACGGATGCATATATTACAACACATATACTCGTAGAAGTGTAATAGAATTCTTGGTCAGATAAATGTCATAAGAATTGTATTATTTAAACAGTTGCAATACATAAATTCATGTTCCCGATAAATGCAAATTTTCCATTTGTTGAAGATTGTGCCATTCAATCATCTTGAAAGCATCTTAACTCCAAGAAGACGATAACGATCATCCATCAGGCTAAAATCAGGACCGATTCCACCTACATTTAGGTCACAAATAACCCCATACAGTTTTAGTAGGATGTTGATGCAAATTAACCAGGCAGCCAATCTCTCCATTCAAGTGTATATACAGATCGATTACCTTAACCAGATAATAGTGAAGGCAGTTTAACTAACTGGAATCAAGTTTAAGCTGGTAAAATATCCTTACAGTTTAATATAATTGTTAATATGTTTTAAATATTACATTTTAAAATTTTAAAAAATCTAATAGTTATAACCGTACATTTATTTGAAATATGGCTGTATCACTCGATATATTTTCAACCAATGAGTTCATTTAAAATTCTAAACTTTAAACTCTTTAATCATATTACTGGGGAAATCAATCTCCAAAAATTAACATATAAATATTATTATTATTATTTTTGCTTGACTTGCTTGAAAAACTGCTTTTACTGACATGCTTGAAAAATTGAGAATACAATGTTTGATTTCAACTGATTAATGCATCTAATTAAAGTAAATACTTAAAACAAAAATGTAAATAAAATTGGAATTATACTTTTCTACAATACTAAATTATAATCATTGTACTAAATGCCTAATTTAATTTTTAAAATTATACAATTAAAGTACAATTTACAAATAATTGTTTAGCATATATAGTTTTATAAATAAACTTTTTATTGTTATCATTTTAAATATTTTTAATTATACATACAGCAAATGTTAACATAAGGGCAAATAACCTTTTCTTTTATTATCATTTGCTTTTTATTAATTTAATATATTTGTACACTGTTTCTAATTTATTTTAATACCATTGAAATAAATACAATACAACAGGTAAATTTATAAATTGCCATGATCTCTAATAATTAATATTCTTCCAAGCTAAGTAACCTTAGCATCTTGAATATTAAATACAACTTATTAGTTAAAGTATTATAACTTATTACTTATTACTCATTACTTAATTGTATAGTAATTAAAGTATAATTTAAGTATGCTAATTATTATAACATAAATGTTATAATAGTAGTTATAATACTACTAACTGAAGGTTAATGTATGTGCAAAGTAATATAACATAGATGCGTATGTTATAAAACTTTGTGTTTTTGCAGTTTGTTAAAAATTATTCAAAAACTTGAACACATTCCGGACAAGAAAACTCACCACAAATGGAAATACTGCTTTTAGAAATCCTTACATAACACGATATTTCAAATTCAATTTCCCCTCCATCAAAGACAACCTCTCCTCAGAGTAATTTATAACAGGCCGAGGGTTTTAGATAGGTGACAAAAAGCAATCAGAAAACGCGAAACGACTATTCCATGCATTCAAATCACCACTCTACAAGTTGGACCTTTCTGCTAAACCACTTAAGGTATGAAAAACTGCGCTGTTTTGTGTATAGGCAAATTCGCAATGCTAAAAACAACTTCTCAGGCTGAGAAACGAGAATATAAATAGATGTGTGAGCTTTTCATAACTCTGGACACGTTTTCTGCAAAAGCATTGACGATGGAGGGAGAATAATTGGTATTTCGGGCACAGAACGTTATTCTCCCCGGGTGACGAAATTTCACACGAATACCTAAATCCCTCCAGGGATCTAAGAGTTTGCTGGCACGTTGTACGTGGGAAACACTTTTATTTCAAAAGCAATGACAAAGGTGTGTTTTTTTTTTGTATGGAGTGAATTTCAAGAATGAATATTAAATGATCAACAGAACCATTTTTTTCCTTCTCTGTACAAGTTTTTCCTTTGCATATGCATGTGTATTTTTTTTTTTTTTGTAATAGATTTTAGAAAAGTGCTTTAAACGCATTAATATAGCATTTGAAGGAAAGTGTAAGTAAAGTGGTTTCTATTCAATGAAAATTTTGAAAGAAAGTGTAAAGTCAGTCATTTCTTGGTTTTTATTTAATGAAAATGATGTTTGTGAGGATTGTTATGAAAAACTTTTTCTATAGACAATTATTTAGTAGAGACAAGTATAAAATCACTCAATTCTTCTTTTTTATTCAATGAAAGGGATGTTTGTGATGATTGCTTGGTATTTTTCTAGGCAATTATTTAGTAGAGACAAATATAAAGTCACTCATTTCTTGGTTTTTATTCAATGAAAGTAATGCTTGTGATAATTGCTTAGTATTTTCTATAGGCAATTATTTAGTAAAGAATAATAGAATAGTGTTTTAAATGCATTAATATAATATTTGAATAAAAGTGTAAAGTCACTCATTTAATGTTTTTTTTTATTCCATGTAAATGACGCTTGTGTTGATTGCTTGGAAAATGTTTTTTTCTATAGGCAATTATATAGTAGAGAATAATACAGCTTCCGATATTGATTCTCTAAGAAAATATTTTTTTGAAAAATAGGACACAATTGTACTTTACGTTTACCCGGAGGAGAATCTGAAAATATTCAAACAGTTTGCCTGAAGATAGTGATTTTTTATTCTATCACGGAAAATAAAGTAGGTATATTTTTGTTACAGTAGTATTTGAGAATAAATATTAAATAATAAGGCAAATCATGATAAATGTGTTATTAGCTTTATTCTACGTATATTTTCTGATGCAGCGCAATTTAGGAAAATGTTTTAAGTGCACTGATGATAAATATTAATGGAAAATAATATTTATGAAATTAAATCATATACATTAATGTTTTTATTTTATTCAATATGAATGATAATTATCTAAAGTTACAATAGTTCTAGAAAAAATCCATTAGTTTGTTGGTAAATTTTAAATAAAATATATGTTTTTGATATAGTCTTCTATAATTAAGAATATTTTTGAAAATCATAGATGATTCTTCCATATTGCCGTTATTAACAGATTAGACTTGCAAAACCAGAAACTTTTTAATATATCAGCCTGGTAATGGTAACCTTCATTCTAATATCAGTAGTAAACAGGTATTGTTTGTAAGAAAGGAATTTAGGATGAATGAAAAAAACATTGAAACAGAATCACTTATTTTTCTCCTGTTATTGCTTATATGTATTTTTATTTATAAATTTTTTTGGAAAATTAATAATAATTCATTGTTAGTTAGTAATTTAAGAAATCATTCATCATTATTGATACACATTTTTTAATGCAAAAATACTAGATGTCCTTAATATAGAAAAAGTATTCTATTATTGGATAAAAAAAGGTAAAGACTGATAAACTTTTATAAATGATATTGTCACTTTTTAGTAAAGAACAATCCATTTCAACAAAAACTTTTCTAAGTAAAGATTTTTGTAAAAAATGAAAAGGATAAGGCTACTCCTCGTTTTTTTTATGCCTGAGGAAAGCCATAAAAGGGTCAAACAATCAGCCTGATGAAGAAAACTTATTCCATCATCTATTAAAAAGTATTTTAGGTATTGGATTTTAGAAGGATTATTAAATAATAAAACAACATAATAATGTAGGTTTCTGTTGTATTTCTTAGTGTATAAATATTTTTTTCAGTTATTAGTTTTAAAAACAATACTATCGCAATAATAGTAAATATTAATAATAATAAGATATTTTTTCATATTTCACTCGGGACTGAATCATTCTACTTAAAAAATACACCAATTCACTGGCAACCTTTTAGTTACAAATAATTCCAGCTTTAATTATAATATTACGGTGTCCATATGTACTCATATACCCAAAAAGCATTCTTAATTATAATGGATGAGATAATCATGTTGGTGTTCAATAGTACTAGGATGATAATATATGGACCGCGAAAATCCAATAAGTATTCAGATAATTATCCTGCAAAGTATTCTAATTGAAATGATGTTATATATGATGCAATACCGCCATATATAATACCATTACAATTTCCTGTAATTTTCCTATCTGACCAGATAGATGTTCTAAATGCATTTATATTATTTATAAAAAAGGTTGTAAAAATAATATAAATACTCATGTTAAAATGTGCAGTTTTTTAAATATACAAAGGTATTTGGTATTAATGATTTTGTCTCGTTAGATCACCGAAGTTAAGCATCATTGGGCGCGGTCAGTACTTGGGTGGGTGACCACCTGCGAACACTGCGTGCCGTTGGCAAATTTGGGACCTGAATGGCCGAGTGTCTAGCGCTCTGGCGCTCGGTGCCACAGGTTTCGGGTTCGAATCCCGGCGGTGCCATGGATGTTTGTAGTGGTACGGAATCCCCTTTAAGTCGTAGGTCCCGGTCTTCTATGACTGTAAGAGCGTCACGGAGCAAAAGTCAGGCTTCTACCTACGGGTGCTCCATCACAACAAAAGCTGCTTCCTTCCCCTTCAATCATGAGTCCATATGGGCTCGTGGGCTTGGCCAGCCAAGTGGGATAAGAAACAACAACAACAACAACAGTGATTTTGTCTTAGAAAATCCTTTGGCTTAGGGAGGGATAATTTCGATTTCAACATATATTCCTTTAGGTAAAAAATACTTCTTAGGGTCACAGAGAAGAAGAAAAAATAAATCCATGTTGGGCTTCGTTCTTTTTACACGTGCGGAAGACCAAGAACTCAATAACCTGACTGTCGACAAAATGAAAATGCAAGCAGTTTTTGAGCAGCTAGTGGATTTGGAAATAAGCATTAAAGGTCCAAGAACAAGAATATTGTTTCTTTATTTCTTATTGAATACGATTTATTTTGTTGTTGTTAATTGTGAATTCATTCATGTATTTTGATAAAGAAATGTTAGAAATGTTTTGTTTCCTGTTCTAAAATGAAATTGACCAAACACAAAACACGCTCTATGAGCTCTATAACGGACGCTAAATTGCAACACCCATTTTGATGTGCAAATACCCAAATTGAGATCGATTTGCAAAAGCTAAGTGAAAGAATGGAGAAACAAATATCGCACTAGTAAAATATAAAATAAATATTTTTTTAATGATTAAACTTTTTTTATTTCGTCCACATTTACATATTTTTTATAATTCATTTTTTAGTGTTATATATTTCTTTACAATGTGAGTTTAGTATCATTACTATCATTTTATCTGTGTTTACATGTATGAATAATAGTAAACACAAAAATAATAACTCATTACGTTTCAATTTTTCACTCCAAAAAATATCTATAATGAGTCTAAATATAATATGGGGATATATAATTTTATATGTGGCCCGCAGAGTTATGATGTATTTCCAAAGTGGCCAGCAAGATTATTTGGGTTGGCCACCCCTGTTTTAAAATTTCTCTTGTCTGCCTATTTTTTAGTCTGCCTATTTTTAGTGGATTTGGAAATAAGCATTAAAGGTCCAAGGACAAGAATATTGTTTCTTTATTTCTTATTGAATACGATTTATTTTGTTGTTGTTAATTGTGAATTCATTGATGTATTTTGATAAAGAAATGTTAGAAATGTTTTTTAAATATATTGATAATAATTACTACAGCAGTGGATGAAAACTACTTATGGTAAAAATTGCATAGCTTTAATGTACTGAGTATTTCTAATTTTAGAATTATTTTTAGGAAAATTGTAATTATATTGTTCTTTAAATGTAATTTTATTGTATTTTTTAGCAAAAATAAATTCTAGTTTCAACATTGATTCTGTAAAATTAGAATATGTCAAGCTTTTGGTAAAGAAGATCAAATAAATATATTGTGGTTCTCTATCGTGTTACCTTCAAGGATACCCAGAAAATGTTTAAACAATTAGGCTGGTGATGAGGACTTATTCAAACCAGAAAAACAAATCAAACATATACTTTGCTGGCAAGATATTTCAAAATTTTCAGATAATTAAATTTATAGTAAAATCAGAAAAATTATGTATCTATATATAGTATTTTATTTTATTTACGTGTTTCCTTTTTGTAATGGATATTTAAAAACAAAAAGGAAATATTATATAGAATAATATGAAAATCTTAGTATAGAATAGATTGGAATTTTTTGTATAGAGTAATATAAATATTACTAAGATTTAAAAAAAAAATATTATGAAGTGAAATACCCTCCTACTACAACCCTCGGCAGAAAAAAAACCGTTACTTTATTGGCTTTTTCGTGCTTAAATTCTTCGAAGTAGCAATGCCTCTCATAGACCCTGGAAAATAAGATCAAACGAATCATATTGGTTCTTATTCATACTGTATGTGATTAAATCCGGAGAATATTCCAACAATCAACCTGGCAACGCCAACCTATTTTAACAGGATTGTTTGAGTAGATATATTTTGTTGGCAACGGTCGCTGGAATAAAAATTAATGATGACGCACAGTCCTATTTTTTTTCTTTTGTTTTTTAATGTTACTCATGTTTTGCTACGTATATATATTCAGTAATGGATTTTGGAAAAAGTCGATTATATGGAGATTTTGAATATGTACTTTCTATAAGTTTGAGGTTCAATCCAAATCTGATTTTAACCAACATTTCATGGTAAAACATAAATGTAAAGCTTTATTTGGAATATTTAATGGGAGATAATATGCGGGACTGTTCAATTTTTAAAATTGCATTGAAGGAATGAAATGAAATGTTGTTTATTTCATTTTTTGATCAGAAACAATAAAATTGAAATTTGAAATAATGAAACAAATGCATAAATTTATTTATTATAAATTTTTCAAATAATTTAAAACCTGGAGTGGACAACCCGGGGCCAACCTTGAATATTTTTTCCTCCGTGAGATTTATCACACTTTTACAAATATATTCATTTTATAATAGCCAAAGTAGTGAAAACCGATGAATTAAAAAATATATTACGTGTGCATCCATATATTCAAAAATTAACTGTTAAAATTATGAGAAAAAATTAACTTTGATTTTAAAATATTGTTCTTGCAAATATATGAAAAATATTGCCTGTTTTATTTATGAGTAATGAAATTATATTATGCGTATTCTACGCGCATACATCTTGGATCATCTAGTATAACAGCTTCTATTTTTCACTTTAAATGATCTCATTGACGCAGTTACCTGATCTAGATACGCACACATACATGATTGATAGCAGAACAAACCAAACTCTTAGTTGAAGTTGTTAGCACTTTTGGTTCAACTTACACCTACGAAGTTTTTTTTTTTCCCCTTCTAAAATGAAATTGACCAAACACAAAACACGCTCTATGAGCTCTATAACGGACGCTAAATTGCAACACCCATTTTGATGTGCAAATACCCAAATTGAGATCGATTTGCAAAAGCTAAGTGAAAGAATGGAGAAACAAATATCGCACTAGTAAAATATAAAATAAATATTTTTCTAATGATTTAACTTTTTTTATTTCGTTTGCATTTACATATTTTTTATAATTTATTTTTAGTGTTATATATTTCTTTACAATGTGAGTTTAGTATCATTACTATCATTTTATCTATGTTTACATGCAAGAATAATAGTAAACACAAAAATAATAACTCATTACGTTTCAATTTTTCACTCCAAAAAATATCTATAATGAGTGGGGATATATAATTTTATATGCGGCCCGCAGAGTTATGATGTATTTCCAAAGTGGCCAGCAAGATTATTTGGGTTGGCCACCACTGTTTAAAAATTTCTCTTGTCTGCCTATTTTTTAGTCGCATAAGTCTAAAGTTGTCTCAGTATGAAATACAGATAATAAATAACTATTTACATTTAATTTTAATTATATAAAGTAACTTAACAATGTTAAGAAATTTAAAAGAATCTACGATTTCTTAAACTTTTTAATGCTCTACTATAAATTTCTATTAAGGAACAGCATTAGAAATATTTTTAAAATATTTTTTTTTATATATTCTTAAAGAATTGAGCAACATTCAATGCTTGTTTAAATTTCCAATGATGCAAAGAATCTTAATTTCCGTGAAGAAAAGAGTTTTCGTTTAAAAGTTTCCGTTGCATCCGATGCTTCTAATGAAATTTTGAATACAGTTTTGATCACTTTTCTCAGGATAAGAATCTGTAACAGATTAGATATCGTAACGCAGACACTTTGCATAGAAATTCGATTTCAAGCAATCAGATTTCAGATCTATCGGGGGATGAAATAAACTAAATTCGTATGTTGGCGATTTCGAATTCAGCATCTGAAGTAGTTGAAGTTTGTTTGGTAAATGCTACACGACGGTTCGCTGGATTGATTTTTTTTTCTTTTATAAAACAGCATCAGAAAGTTTTTGAACATTTAAATAAAGAAATGGTGTTTACAAATGCAAATATTTAATTTTGTTTAAGGGGATAAAGTAAATGTAAAATTTTAATAAAATATATGAAATTTCGAAAAATAAATACGTATTTTTCATTTTAAAATTCTATTATTTCTATTCTAATTTCAAATTTATTAATGAATGTTAAATACTTATTTCCTATTTATATATTATATATATATATATATATATATATATAATTTTATAATTTTATAATACAAAATTATTTGTTTATTAAATTTGACGTAATCTCAAAGGAAAATATTAGTAATATTTTAATATTTAAAGAAAGGTATGTAGTTTTTAATAATTAAATGTCTTTAAATATAAAGAGTGATATTTAAGTATCATAAAATATAAATAAAAGCTGTAAAAACTGAAATCCTTTCACGAATTTCAATTTATCATGTGTGAACATACATTGCTGGAAGAATACAGATTTGAATATATCAATGTTCAATAATCCAAGAAATTTATGAAATTTTAGAAATTTATGAATTTAACAGAATATTAATATAATAGGAATTCTGCACTATAGGGTTCAACTAGTTTATTTGGCGATTTTTTTAGCAATGATTTTAGCGTAAATTTATTTATTTATTTATATTTATTTTTTTAGCATAAATTTATGAATTTAACAGAATATTAATATAATAAGAATTCTGCACTTTAGGATTCAACTAGTTTATTTGACGATTTTTGTAGCAATAATTTTATATATTTATTAAAATATTTCTTGAAATCACTTGAAATATGAAAATCTTATTTTTTTAGTAATCTGTCTAATAAATGATTTTAAATAGCATTCTTTGCATATTATTAAAATAACGTGCTTTAAATAGCCTTCTAATACATATCATATATTACAAATAAACAATTTTTAATTCATGCGTTTATTTAAATAT